ATCAGGCATTGCAGATAGACACGGTGATTGATTTGAACACTCTTATGTGAAAGATATCGCATGCATCCAAAAGTGTCCAGTGAATGAATGTAAAATTAGGAGGCGCGTTGCTCTAATGACTATCTAAACAGAAAATACCAAATAGAGTTTTCCTACGTTAACGACAGAAATATATTATTCGTGTGAATTTACGACTATTTTGATTTAAATATCAATATGGTATGCGGTGGCGTCTTGGTCAACGGACCAAACGCACTTGCTGTACCCCTTGGTTTGTGAGAGCTTGATGCATATGCGTTGCTGTCCATAGAATGAACTGATAGTACCCTATCCATTTTTCAGCACGATCATGCCGCAGTTCGTAAATCGCATCTGACCAATTTCGATCTATTTCATGATACCAAAACAGTGCCATTGTCCGCGTGCAGCCTAAACATGAATTCTATGAAAAACATCTGTACTGTGTTTACCCGAAAGGTATATCAACGTGCAAGACTACACACACAAAAGTAACCAGACGCATTTTTGACCGGAAAAAGTTGAACGATATCGACACATTCGTTGTTCGAAGTATCATAAATGGAGTGTCGAAATGGGTAGACGATTTAGTAAGAACTGGTTTCAACGGGCTAAGTACATAGAGGTTCAGTATTTTTGTTACGGTTAAAATCATGGTTCTTCTGAATAGTTTCGGTAAAATAAAAGATTATTTGATGAAGTTTATCATCCCGGGCTTTCATTCGAATACTGCATAGATTTTCAGGAATGGTGATATTACAAATAGAAGCGGAAACAATAAAATACTAGCGAGGGTTAGCCTTACCTTTATCAGATAGTATCTGAGTCAGACGTGACAACCAGATCAATTCACGGAAGTGCATTTATGTGTGGGATGCACTCTTGACATCATTTCCTTACATTTCTCCCATGGCTGATATTGCGAAATGTTAGATTCGTTGACCGCACTTCACTGTTTTTCACCCGATAGAATTTTCAGCAGGATGAATTACCCAAGTAAAGTGTAGTTGCGTAGTGTTTCATCGATATGTGCAACCCGCAACCCCTTATTGATCATGATCCTTTAATCTTCACTTATAGCAAATTTGTAAGCTTAAAGATTTAGGATAATGGAAGCGTTTAGTTCCATTATGATCACTCCTTATTCGTGTTCAGTGGCACATTCTGTGTATAACGGATGCCATATTCATGACTTGAAAAGTCAATATTAAACTAATAGCACGTGAATTATGTTGAGTTATTATTTTTATAATTATATTCAGTTATTCGGAATTCCAAATCCTTACATTGAGAATGAAACCCTGAATTTCACAGAGAATACAGCAAAGCAGATGCAGTTTGATTGTCTTACAAAAGTAATCATAAATGTTCTGCCCGTAAATCTCTGATCGACGGACTGGTTATAGATGAGTTTGTGGCTATGGGATGTATGTTGCTGTTTCGACTCATAGCGTTAAGCCTTTTTGTTTGTCTAGTCTTACGTGCGTTGAAACCTTTGATGAATGTTGTGGTTTGCTGTTCATCCCATTCACCTTAAACATTTAATTCGTCTAGATGCTCGAATTAACCTCAAGAGGACGTCTGTAAATGCTCCGCTGGTTGTGATTATTAAGTCAAAATTGTGTTCCTGTGGGAAGCTCCGCAGTCATTGTTTTCTGCGGGGTAGATTCTACTGATGATGTCTTCTTTGGTGAGCACAACTAACCTCAAGTAACCAATATATAGGGCTGATTTCAAGAATAAGAACTCCGTGTGAATTTGATTTAGCTTTTATGTTTAGTACGTATGTGTACATTGTTCTTGTGGTGCTGTGTTTCAGTTTCTGGACATCGTTCTTCGGGTCATTAGCATCGATCAGTGGTCGGACAGTTCAAACAGTAGCCTGCTAACTCGAAGAATAAGAAAAGCGATTAGTTGATGTTCGATTACCTGATAAAACTTTTATTTTTATATTATTTAACCTCTTTGATTTTCCAGTAAATGGACCGCTACTTCTATGGCCTTTTTCCTGTATCTCGGTGACGGAAGATTCCAGCTTACGATTGCTATTGCCATTTCCCGCTTCGTTTGCGACTGTGACATGTGATCTATGAATGGTTCCTATTCCAACAACTACAGTTCTGCATACTATAAAGGTCTTTTTCTACACTCCTGGTGGATGTGGGCAGGAAAGGATTGGTTTTATTGAAGGTTTGAGAAGTTCCAAGTGCCTGAGTAGGTTTTCCCCTTCTCGGTTAGCCATGCTGAATGGGGTCTATCATTACTTAAAATCCACGTTAACCTTGTAGTATATATGATTGTATGCGTGTTTTCACTCTTTATCGATTGTCCAACCTACAACTTTCGTGATCAGATGCAGAAGACGGAGGAACGCATATAGTGCTGCGCTATTTGCGCCATCGGTGGCGTTTGGACAGTCCTCCACTTAGTCGTCGACGCAAGCTTGCTGCTGACCGTCTGTGGTACACTCTACAAACGGGTCTTAATGCATTGGGTGTGCCTGCCGAGTTGGGTGAGTTGTGTACTGTTTCCGATCTTTGGTGTTAATTGTACCTGACCACCATTTTCGAAGATCAGTAATCATCATCGTTTGGTTGCCATCAACGGATAAACTACTTTACCACAAACACTTACCCTCTTTGGGAATGCTTTGTTGGAAAGCCTGGTTATTTATATTATAATTTTGTTATTTCTTTATTATATACCTTAGTTGAATGGCGTAAAACTCGAACTGGTGACCTCAACCCTGAGAATTGGATTAGAAATACATGCGGCCCCGAAGAGTTGGTATAAA